CAAATTATGTAGGTGCCTTACCCAGCCTGCACAGAAAGAGTACAATAACATGGCAAAGCAGATTCTGGAACTCGTGGCTCACTTTTCCACTATTCAATAGATATAGTGACCAGAATGAAGCTGATTTAACACGTTTTACTATTTCTTGGTACATGGCATCAAAGTCAGAAAGCATGCCAATTTTCACAAAATTTGCTGTGAATGAAGTTATATATAGTTAGTATTAAAGGGCATCAGACTAGTTCACAGAGTAAACACTTTCCTTCCTCCCACACCTCCTTGCAAGGCCACAACCATAAAAAATATGACCACAAAATAAGTAACAACCAAATGAAAAATAACATATCCTTAGCATGATTTTATCATTGATAAACAATAAAAAATATAAACTATGATTTTCTCAAATCTGTAGTGTGCATCAACCAAAAATGTATTCATAGTCTTCAGTTTCATACAACCATTGACCAAAATATTTGTAGGGACCTACAATCATAGTAGTTATTCTTCTTATTCTGATACATAATTAGCATTAGGCATTATACTCAAATATCAGATTTTGAGAATAACTTCTACTTTCTCTTTCAGTATATTTGCCATTAATATTGCAGTCAGCCATACAATTTTCCAAGCTATATTTGGCATAGAGAGTTAAATCTCTAATTTTGCTCTTTTTCATACATTAGCAACAAAATGGACCATTTTTACTGCATGAAAAATCATTTTATGCATGGTATAAAAACATGTTCCTTAGTATACTGAATCAGTGGCTTTAAAATAGGGATCTATATCACTTCAGATGAAATGGTAATTTCCAATTTACTCTTTCTAGCACCTCCCGCTCTATAATGAAAAAGTACCACCAGCACCTCTCCCACTATGACAGCAACAGACAACCTGGTGTTTAAGTTCCCAGACTTATAGGACAGTGGGTAACTTGCCACTCTCTAGACATGATGAGATATTTGGGAGTGGACAGAAAAAGAAGAAGAAAAAGAAAAAAACAGTGTCTCTAAGTAACAGGACAGTTTTATTGCAACTGGGTATGCATATCAAATGCTGCAGTTTATCTGTAGGTGGAACTTTCCATTGCAAATAAAAACAATAGCTCATCAATTAGTCAAGATTTACACAGATTCCTAGTGCCTTAAAGTGAAGATAAATTTTGCCTACTACTCAGACAAGCTCAGAGACTTTTAAGCTTTTCTTCTAATCTTTTCACTTTCCTTCTCTGACCTCACCTTCCGTGCTGCGATCTCGCCTTCCCACTTCTCTTGCTTCTATGCTCTTTTCTTCCCTTACTTTGTGATCTTAGAGTTGTTGACGAATCTGTGGTGGGTGATTTTCCTTAAGCATGTGGTGCGGGAGAGTGTGCTATTTCTCAAAGTACAAGCGGGAAGCTTCACAGGAAGCAGAAGGAATAGACGCATCAATTAATCCTTCAAGAAACTGTTCTGCCAGATGTTTATGCTCCTGTTGGACAAGATTTTATAACTGCAAATGAAATGGGAAACAGTGGTGAATTAATGTCCAGTAAAATATAATACAATTTTTTAGATATTCATAAATGGGCTTCCTATTTATACTTTTCTTTTTCTGCCACATATGTGAAATCATGACACTTGCAGATTTATGTGCCTCGGCATGTATAAATTTGCATTCCACATTCAACCAGAGACCAGTTCACTCCTTATTTATGATGTTGTTTTGGGTTGTACAATTTATATTATTCTTTTCATCACTTTTGTGCTTCAGTGAACCACATTTTAGTCATGGGTCCATTTTTGAGAATGGGGGATATAATGGAGCACGAGCATAAAAACAAAATTACAAATTTAATAATGTCAACAGTAGCATGAAAATGGCAAGAAAATACATTAGGTGAGACAAACTGTATCCTATTAGCTAAATATTTGCAGGCAAACAAACTATGAGTTCCTAAAAAGACATGTATAACTTTAAAAGGCATAATTATCATTAGTTGTATGAGTAATGGTATTTCCTTGCAAATAAAAATATTATGTTTCAGATTAATTTGAGGCTGAGAATGAAATAGTTTCATGGATTTTGGATTTTTCCTCTACACACTGAAAAACTACTTCCACCATAGCCAAAAACCAGACTTTAATAAGCATTGCTCTGGCTGCCAAAGCATCCTATCTTTTTTCATATTTCTTGACTCTAAATTCATTATATATTACCTTTTTTCTTTTCCCTCTGAGACATTATATGCGTACATATAGACACATACACACAATAATTAGGAAATAAATTAGAAAGACCTCTGTGTTTTGACCCCTTATCATCATTTAAAGCAATTAATAAAGAGCAAAGGGGCATAAAAACTTATCTTGACCTTAGAGTGCTTATCTCTCAGAAGTCAGATAAAACACAGCAGCATCTTCCTTTGTCCACAGCTTACATCTCCTCCACAGAATATGCAATGACTGCATCTTTTCTCAAGAGGGATGCTGTGTTATCTTCAGAGCACAAAGATCTAAAGGAAAGATTGATACTACAGGAAAAATAATATTGCTGATTCCAACAATAATGATACTGCATATCCATTTAGGAAAATAAGGTCTGGAAAAATCCAAAACTCCAAAATTTCTCTTATATGTATGCGATGCTATCGTGAACAAACATATGGGTTTTTAATGAAAAAAATGCAATTTTAAGTAAATGTTTAGGAAATTAATTTCATTGCAAAAATAACTACTCCCGTGCTTAGCATCAATAAACTGATTGGTTCAAAGAAGCTTCAAACTTCTTCCCCTTACTTATAAAATAAGACTTTTTTTTTCTTGAAGATATAAAAATAAAATGGGAAAATGTTCAAGAAATTAATTTGAAACCTGAAAACAACTGCATAAAGTTTAGACAAAAATAGACTTTTGTTCAATAAATGACTGTAAGATGAGAGTTGAAAATAAAATATTAGGGCCTCCCTTGTGGCACAAACCTATGAAGCTATCCACAGCCAATGCAACATGTGTTCAATCCCTGGCCAGGGAGATACCCACATGACGAAGCAGACAGACCTCTCCTGACTCTCCTGCTGCTCTCCTCGGCAATGTGTTTCAGTCAGTCTACCTATTCTGTTCCCCGCTCTGTCTCTGGTGAATCCTTTAACCCCCACACCTCTGGCTTGTACCCCAGTTCTTGTATGCATAAAGAAAAATCTTAAAAAAATAAAATATTATTCTGATTAATCAATAATTTATTATTTCTCAGAATAAGCTGATATATATATATATATGCTGAAAGCAGCATATACAAGTATTTTAGTAGAATTAGGATGCAATCATATATAAATCTGTGTGTATACATGTGTAAATTAAGTGATATGATTATAGATTGATTCAGTCGGCACATACCAATTCATATTTTTAAGATTTATTTTTTACTTATTTGTGCATAAAAGAATGGGGGTGTAGACCTCCCCTGGTGGCTCAGTGGTTGAACGCTAGGCTGCGAGGCTGCCCGCAGCCTCTGCAGCGCCTGTTGGTTCCCCGGCCACTGGCGAGGATCCCACCAAAACAAAAAAGAATGGGGGTGTAGGCCAGAGGTGTAAAGGGTGAGAGGATTCACCAGAGACAGAGTGGGAAACAGAACAGGCAGATCCACTGAAATACACTGCTGAGGGTGGCAGTGGGCGAGAGAGGAGGGGTCTGCTGTCCATGTGGGTAGCTCCCTGGCTGAGGATTGAACTTGTGCTGCAGTGGCTATGGATAGTGATAGTGCTGTGAGTTAATTCCTGCACCACCAAGAAGCCCATGTATCCATTTCATAAGAACTAAATCCATTCTAGAGAAACGATGTTCAGTCCTCACTCCCATTTGCAATCTATGCTGGGCATTGACATACATGCTGCTAAAAAGTCACTGCACTCAAATTTATAGAAGATAGTGAAAAAGATAGCATCTCCTGAGTTCTCAGCAAATTGGCCTATATTTTATCATTAATTTTAAAAATCATGTTGAGTGACCTAGAACTCTACCCAAAGGACACAAAAAACATTGATTCAAAAGAACACCTGTACCCCTATGTTTATTGCAGCACTATTTACAATAGGTAAAACCTGGAAACAACCCAAATGCCCAAAAATAGATGACTGGATCAAGAAGATGTGGTATATATGCACAATGGAATTATTCAGCAATCAAAAAGATAAACTCATGCCATTTGTAGCAATGTGGATGGAGCTAGAAGTAATTATGCTCAGTGAAATAAGCCAGAAGGAAAAAGAAAAGTATCGGATGGTTTCACTTATAACAGGAATATAGGGGAACCAAATAAGACATCAGTATAAAAAAATAATAACAGTACAAAACACAACAAAGCAAAAACGAACAATTATAAATAGGAGACTTACTGCAGGGGAGGAGGAGGGAGAGGGATCAGAGGGAGGCAGGGAAGAGCACGGGAGACTGTGGTGATGGTGCCTGGGTGCATTGGGAAAGGAAATTCTATGGGGACTAAACCTGAGGGGGTGGAGGGAAGCAAATATTGTTTAAAAATGATCAATAATGTAAAAAGAAAATAGCATTAAAAATAAATTTAAAAAAAAGAAAAAGAAATCATGCTGAGTGAGATACTTTATCCAGTAGAGTTTATGCAGGATCAATTATAGACCATAAAATGAAATGAAAGAAATAAGAATTTTGAAGAAATACCTTTATAGCAGGAATGGTGCAGTGAATCTTGGGTTGCTAAATATAAAATCTCAGCAATATGCATAACTTCTGACATCAAAGGCAGAACAGTGCTAAGTGAAATTTGCTTTCTAGTGATGACTATCATATTTCTGTAAGATGTTATAATGAAGAAAGTTTGCCAAAAATGTTTTTGTTTCAAGACAAATTAACATCAGCTGTAAACTTTTTAGTATGTTAGGTTTTATCCATCTGGGGCCTGCTATGATCTTTCCAGCAATCTTTTATTTTGACAAAACTAAATTCTAAATCCTATTGTGACATAAAAATGATGTCATTTATGTTAAAGTCCACCATTATGACAACTATATTTCATTTACCTGAGAAGAGGGCCAAATTTTAAACTTCCTGCCTACTATTTTGAAGAACTAGAGGATTCTAAGGCAGCCCAGCCAAAGAGTAGATCTGAAAAGGTGAATAAGTTTTTGGAAATTTTTAAAAATGGCATAAAAGGAAAAAATGGGGGTCCTTTTATAAGGCAACCAAATGCATACACACATATGATATGTATATGCATATATATTTACACACACATATATTGTGGCAAATATAAATTCTGATATGAGGGTGAGTTATATATATATATATATTTTAAAATAATTTTCATATATCTTGCATAGATACTTGGAGTAGCTTTAAGCGGTTCTTATATCTAATAAGAATATTTCTTAGATATGTGCAATATGATCATTTTTGTAACTTGATGGTTGGCAAAGTACTTTAAAGTCACTTATTAGCATCCTTTACAATATAAGACAACTTATAAAGGGAATGAACATGTTATGTATTAGCAATTGTCACTCTGGCAGTCAGCTGAAGGCTGGAATCCATTGATTTTTTCATGATATAAAGTGGATCTAAGGACATTTAGACTCAAAAATAATGATTTTAAATTTTAAAAAAATGTTGAAATATTGAAATATGGTTATAAAAAATCAATAAATCTTATGTTAAGAAACTAATGAACATAAATGAAACAAAATTTAGAAAGACAAGTTTTGATTTTTTTTTCTTGGATAAATTCATTTCTTTAAGCCCAACTTCTCTAAAAGGAAAAGGTTGGCATAAATTTTTCCTTAAGAGCCTTACAACCGGGCCTCCCCGGTGGCGCAGCGGTTGAGTGCTGGGTTGCAAAGCTGCCCGCAGCCTCCGCAGCGCCGGTTCGATCCCCGGCTGCTCCCCGGCCACCGGAGGAGGGTCCCACATGGCGCGCAGACCTCTCCTGCTGCCCTCAGCAGTGTACTTCGGTCCTTCTGCTGCTCTGCTCCCTGCTCTGGCTCTGGTGAATTCTCTCACCCTCCAGTGCTTCTGACTGTACTCAGTGCATGTATAAACAAAAAAACAAACAAACAAACAAACAAATAATAAATAAATAAATAAATAAATAAACAAACATGCCTCTAAAAAAAAAAAATTGAAAAAAAAAAAAAAAAAACCAAGAGCCTTACAACCCATGTCTCATGGAAAGCATAAAGCATAAAGATAAAGAAGGATAAAAAATATAAGTTTATTATTGCCTGAATTTTAATCTAAAAGTCAACATATATTGGCTGGGTGAACAATGGCAACTTATTTAACATTATGAACCTAAATTTTCTCTTAAAATAAGTATTCATCTATCAAAATTGTGGTGGGTGTTATATAAAATGATCAGAATTTACTGTCTGATATAGAACCTGGTATATGGCAGGCACAAAACATCCAAAACATCCTACCTACCCTGTTTTATTAACCAAAAATTTTATCAATTGTGAAGTCAGATTACCCAGTTTATAAGCTAAAGGTTATTGCTTTTAGGTTTTTCTAGCTAAGTAAATTGGGCAAGGGAACTATGCTTCTCCATGTGTAAAATTAGAGTTCTAAAATATGTTTTGTTTTCTCACCATTTTGTTGTTATAATTAAAAAGCATAGTCACAAAAAGAACAATATTCATGGACAGAAAGGAATCAACACTTCAGTGTGCTTAGAGAGTTCTGTTTTGCTTGCAGTATCATTTCATCATTATTGTAATATAAAGGGAGAAAAAGCAAAAATAGTTAATATCCTGGTCAAGGTCACCCAACTATTAAATCATAGAGCTACAAGTCAGTTCAGATATGCTCACATGCCCACTCCACACATCTTATTAAGTACTAAGGATTTTAGTAAAAGGATATGGCTGATCTTAAAGCAAGAGTTGTGAAGAGAAGGGTGAAGAATAGACTAATAGATGCTATTAGCAACTATCTGAGTGGCTGGCTGCTCTTTTAGCAGAACAAAATAACTCTAAACTGACTGAAGGAGTAATAGATAATAAGTAAACAAATCACATAGGAAAGGAAATTTTTAAGTAAAATATGACTGTCAAATGTACATGTCTAATAGTATATTGTTTTCTGTTTTTATAAACTGACAGTGAGAAAAGGAAGAAAATCCAATAATAATTCATCACATATTCTAATACACTTCAGCCAAAGATTAAAGGAACCATGCCAGTTGCTGCGACTGCACACAGAGAACGAAGAAATCCTCTACGAGCCCCATGGGTTTACAGAAGTCTATCAATCACCCTGTCAGTCTTCCGAATCATTATTCAAGTTGCTATCCCCAATTTTGTGGGATATATCAGACCAGCTCCAGCTCCATAGGTAATTTTTTTCCCTGAGAGTATTGGAATTTGTTCCTTTTTTATTCTTTAGGCTAATAATATGCGTCTCAAAATCTTTGAAAATGGTAGCAGGAAATTCAGTCACTAACTCTCATTATGTATGAGTGTGTATGGGTTGAATTCACAAACTGTTACCTTATTGTTAAGACAATGAATTTAACATATAGAAAATAGTTATTTAGTGCTGGTTATGTTAACTGTGAATATCATGCTTTCTTTAATTGCTTTGTATATGCCTTTGTTTATTTCAAGGATCTTCAAGGACAGGGAAATCATGTCTATATGTTTCCAAGTTACTGTAGAAATTTGGCAGTTTCTACTTATTTGATCAATGAAGAAAAACAGACTGGAAATTTTAACTAAATATTTACCAAAATTCAAACAACCAGCAAAACAAATTAGATATCAAGGTCTGTTTTGCTGATTGAATATATATATATATAAAATATCTGTGTGTATATATACATATATATATCTGTGTGTGTATATATACATATTTATGTATCTATAGTAACACAAGAATGGCTCTTACACATCTTTCAAAGGAAGTTTATTCTTTCATACAACAAACTTATATTATGTTTGGGCTTAAGACATTAGTATTAGCTTGATTGATATACATACAAAGAAGAACAAGATCCTGACAATAAAGGCATTTGTTAATGTTAATGTGAAAGGCACAGGAGATATGGGAACACCTTCCATACTGCTATTCAGGAATGCTTCTGAAAGATGTGAAAACTAAACAAAAAAAAATTTTTTAAAGATTTATTTATTCATCTATACAAGCACTGGGCACAGTCAGAAGCACGGGAGGGTGAGAGAATTCACCAGAACCAGAGCAGGGAGCAGAATAGGCAGACTGATGAAGCACACTGCTGAGGGGAGCAGCTGGTGGCAGGAGAGGCCTGAGCGCCATGTGGGACCCTCACCTGGCAGCCGGGGATCGAACCAGCACTGCAGAGGCTGCGGGCAGCCTCGCAACCCAGCTCTTAACCGCTGCACCACCAGGGGAGGCCCAAAACTAAACAAAATTTTAAAGATCAGTAGACATTACTTAACTGAAGAGGAAGGGACGAGCACTGCAGGTAGTGGTCATATAGTTGAGAGATCCATAAACATTTTAATATTTCCAACTACAATTTATTTTCATGGGAACAGAACTGTCATCCTTTATGCTCACCGATGCATTCCCAGTATCTAGAACAGTTCCTGATACATAGTACCTGTTGGTTAAAAGAATGATTAAATTATAAATTCTAAAATGCATGTCAAGAAACAGAAACCAGAGTTTAGAAGAGAGCCATATCACAGTACATCTTCAGGTGTTTTGTAATGACCCTCTTTGGTCTACCTTTTCTCCCTTAGGTCCATTACAACTCTGCAATATCTTGTGATAACATACTGTTCCTTCTCAATAACTGACACTCCTATTCATACTTGTTCTCGTAATGTAGAATTTTCTTGATGAAATTACCCATCTTTATCTCCCTATGTTCATTTACCTTAGGATATAACTTTGCTGATAGGAGCTAATTTAATTTGCCTTAATTTTTTTATGGGAGAAAATCTCTCCAGATGCATTTTCAGTCAGTCAAGGAACAATGAACAAACCATTGCTTATACGGTTGGGAGTTAAAAACATGCATGCATATCTTGTCTGACATGGGCCAGGCCTACACCTTTGAAATAATTATCTTTAAACTGCATAAATCACAGGTTTGAGTAAACATTAAAATAAAGAGCAACACAAAAATATTTTGTAAAACTTAAGATCTGACAGAACTGTAAGGGACTTATTAAGGACTACAAAGTCTTGAAACCAAGAACTTAAATAATATCAAAATCTCACATATTGTTATGACTGTAGTGGTATAACATGTTTGTAAAGCATGGATAAACATTTTTGGCAGCTATCAAATCACATCAGTAGGCAACTTCCTTTTCCATCTTGAAAGTGGCATTTAACTAAAACCACAGGGATACTGAAGATGGATCTAAATCTCTTTGTTCTTTATTTTCAAGTTTGAAAGGAATAGGTTCTTTTATTACATAAACAGTTTTCCAATTAATCTTCACAACTAATGTTACAGCACAGCAATCATCATCAGCCACACTGTCTACGTGAAGCAATCACCAGCAGGTCTAATGCACAATGCCTGGCTCTATAATCTCTGAATTTTCTAGCAAATACTAATATGAATGTGATTCATTATAACACAAATAAGCATATAATAACTACTCATCTTTTTATTTCTGACTTTACTGGGAAATAGGTCAATACTAGCCCTATGGGCAAAACGGATAATTGCTTCTGTGGATTATCCTTATTTCATTAATTTTATACTAGTAATTTGAATGCTTATCATTGTGTGTATATATATGCACATGGATAGCACAACTAACATATGTATGCACATAAAACATGTGTACATATACACATATATATACATACTTACACATACAACATTCATTTCCTTCCTTAACTACCCATTTGGACATTTGCATTATTTTTTATTTTTGTGAAATATAATGCTAAATCACTCTCTCGTACTAAATTTCAATTGTACCTGATCTTAAGTGTGCTATCAAAATAAGAAACAGTCTTCCAACCAGAGGTATAACAAATTTGATGCAACAGACTTGTTAACATGTTAACTAACATAATTTGGTGGAAATATCCTTCTGAAGAGAACTGCTGTGATGATGTGACACAATTGGAGAAGTAGGACTTTATTAAAAGGATACCGAAGATCTACAAATAGCCTGGTGTTTGTGAGATTCTCAGAAAAGCAGTCCAGTACCTAAGTCACCATGATTTTTTACAGAAATATGATTATGAATTCTCAAAACCATCATGTTGAGTGGCTAATACCTGTGAGATGTCATGAGTGTTTATTTGAGTTTACAGAATAATCCTATTATACTAAAAAATACAGTTTGCTATTTTTAAACACAATGATACCATTAAAAAATGACTGCATGTTATTAATTATATTTAATGTTGCTTTATTTTTTCTTTCCAGATGGACAGTGTGTTTTCTTCCTATTTTTAAAGACAGCAAAGTGGAAAACTGGTGAATATTATAGGGACACACTGAAAAGTGCATTGTTACTATGGCAATAAAAAAGAGAACAAATGTCCAAATACTTCTTGGTTAAGATCCATTTTTCTCGATGAAATTTTATAGTTTTCCGCATTAAGTATAACTAAATATTCTTCATGTAATAGTTTTTCAGTTAAGTTAAATATTTCCACTCATTTACATGCATAATTACCTACCATGTCTTGGTAATTTGGTGTACAAACATGACTAAAATACATTTTCTGACCTCCTTTAAGCCATTTTGGGAAAGTTGGTAAACTATAAGCTCAGCATAAAGCTGCAAGTGCCACAATAGACATTTATACGGGAAGCAATGTATCTAACATGCCCCTCCTCTTCCTCTTACTTTCTCTATTTTTTGGGAGAGTGAGAGAACACTACATTAAAGAACGAGGTCAGGAAAAAAAGTCCAGAGTTAAAGACACCCAGGAATGTAAGCTAAAGCTAAGGACATCAAATATAGATAACTAGAAGTTTGTAAAACAAAATAAAAATGTCATGATTCCCAAGATAGTATGCTGTTACTCATAGATGTGATACAAATATTATTTCATTAGTTATTTATTGTTACATAATATCATCACAAGCTTTGCATCTTAAAACAACACACATTTATTATCTCACAGATTTTGTAACCTTGGAGTCCAGGCACAATTAAGGTAGCTCCTCACTCATGCTACAAAATATCAGTCAGGACACTTATGTAGAATGTCAACTGGAGAAAAATATGCTTCTCCCCTTACATAGTTATTAGTAGCATTTAACAGTTCAGAACTAAGAGTTCCAGGATTTTTCCTGGTTGTTGACAGGGATAGTCCTTACCTCCTGGAGACCATCTGCAGCTCTTTACCATGTGAGAATCTCCAATATAGTCACTTGTTTCTTAACAGCCAACAAGGGAGAGAGTCTAATTGATGGGCACTATAATCTATGTAACAGAACTGCATGCCCATAAGCACACATCCTATCACCTGTCCTGTGTTCAGCTAATGAGAAACAAGTTGTCTGTCCATCTAAATTCAAGGGTAGTAGATTTCCCAAAGTATAAAGAGGAGTTGGGGTGATGGAGTATTGCATAGATATTAATAGAAAAAAATGAAATAAGTCCAATAAACATAGTGAAAAAATAACAATATTTGTTGCACTGTATTTCATACTGATGAATCTTGCCCCATCAGTTGTATCAGCTTTCTTAACAAAAATGAGAAAACATGTAGAAATAGTAGACATATATATTAGTCTTAGTATGATATCTATATGATAAAATATAGATGATAGATGATAGATAAACAGACATTTATTTTAAGGAATTGGTTCACATGATTTGGATACTGACAACTTCAAATTCTGCAGGGTGCACTTATAAGATAGAGGCTCAGAAAAGAACTGCAGTTGGAGTCTAAGGGCAGTTTCCCTTCCGAATTTCTTCCTTCTTGGAGGAAATTCAGTGTTTTTTTCTATTTATTCCTCAACAGATTAGATGAGACCCAAGCACGTTATGGGGGTATTCTGCTTTATGCAAAATCCATCAACTTAAATGTAAATCTCATCTAAAAACATCCTCAGAGAAACCATATAATGTTTGAACAAACATCTGATTATCTTGGCCAGGTCAAGTTGACATGTAAAATTAATTATTACAGCATCTTTAAGACTTCTAATAAGTGTCTTCAACATAGTTTCATAGTAATTCTACATAAAATCACTAATTTCTTTATGGATATTAATTTATAATGCTTTACTAAGTAAAAATATTTATCACCACTCTACTTTAAATTAGGGGATTGATAAATTCAAAATTTAAGCATTTTATCTAATGTCACACTGCTTGGTTCCAGAGTTTTGCTCTTAAGCAGTTACCATCTTACAAATCCTGTTGCTGAAAAGAGGCTGCAATTTGATTGTGCCAGGGGTGGTAGGACAGAAGACTTTAGAACTTTATTTAAAATTGCTAGCTTAGTGATCATCATCTTAATAGCTTTTTGTTGGATCATCTTCAATAAGTTCCTATTTCCTTTAGAATACTGTGAGCTTCATACTGTTATATTCTATTTTGCATCCAACTAGCACTAATCATATGTAAAACATAGTAGGTCTTATTCATTAAATAACAAAGTCCTTAATAATTGTATTTATGATCTTCCTAAACTCCAAAGTGATTTGGTTTCCGATTACTGTTTCGTATATTCTTTCTTTCTTTTTTAAAAGATTTATTTATTTAGGGCCTCCCCTGATGGCGCAGCGGTTGACGCCAGCCTGTGAAGCTACCTGCAGCCTCTGCAGTGCCCGTTCGATCCCCAGCCACCGGCGAGGGTCCCGCATGGCGCAGACCTCTCCTGCAACCCGCTGCTCCACTCAGCAGTGTCTTTCCGTCGGTCTGCCTGTTCTGTTCCCCGCTTTGGCTCTGGTGAATTCTCTCACCCTCCCGCGCTTCTGACTGTACCCAGTGCTTGCATAAATAAATAAATAAATCTTTAAAAAAAAAGATTTTATTTATTTATTTATTTATACAAGCACTGGATACAGTCAGAAGCGCGGGAGGGTGAGAGAATTCACCAGAGCCAGAGTGGGGAACAGAACAGGCAGACCGATGAAGTACACTGCTGAGGGGAGCAGCGGGTGGCAGGAGAGGTCTGCGAGCCATGTGGGACCCTCACCCGCTGCCGGGGATCCAAGGAGAGCTGCAGAGGCTGCGGGCAGTTTCGCAACCCAGGGCTCAACCGCTGCGCCACAGGGGAGGCACTTCGTGTATTCTTATCTCCATTAAATCTATCCCATGTCATAAATAAATGTTTTTGAGGTTTAGAAGCTCTAGTAAGACAAGGCAAGTGTCTCTTTTGCCATGTTATTCCCAGTGCCTAGTACTGGAGTGGACATATAACAGGGGCACAATAAATATTTTTCAGTTGAATTTGAAGGACTATGGAAGGTGTAAAGAGCAAAGATGGAAGCAAGGAAGAAATGTTACTTGGTAGAATAAAAGTCCCCTAAAGATGTGTAGATTCTAATCTCCAGAAACTGTAAACATTTTTATGTGGCAAAATGAATTTTGAAATAAGATGAAGTTCAGGATCTTGATATGGGAGGAATACCTGGATTATCTGGGTTGATTGAATGAAATCACAAGGGAACTTAGTAAAAGAGGTGCAAAAAGGTAGTTTTCAGGAGATGTAATAATAGAAGTAAAGTTCAGAGAAATGTACTTTAAAGATTGAGAAATGTCAAGAAATGCAGATAATGCAACACGCAAAAAGTGAGGAAATACTTTCTGAAGTCTCCAGAAGAAACAGAGGGAAAATTTCCTCAACTTGATTTAAAAAAAATATCAACCCCAAACCTTACAATCTGCATCATACTTAATGATGAGAAGCTAGTTGCTTCTGCTCAAAGATTTGGAACAAGGCAAATATATCTCTTATATCTCCTATTGAACATCATTCTGGAAATCCTTGCTAATACAATAAGAAGAGAAAAAAAAGCCACACGTGTTGGAAGAAAACAAACTATCTTTGTTTTCAGAAGACATAATTGTCTATGTATAGAATACAAAGAACTTCTAGAAAATTATAAGAGGAAGTCGAGGTGACTTTGTTTTAATAATGAGTTTTTGGATATAACACTTGACAAATGATCAATGAAGGTAAAAATTGATAAGCTGTACTACATTAAAGCTTCTGCTCTGCAAAGAATACTGTTTAGAAAATGAAAATTCAAGTCACTAGAAGAAAACATTTTCAAAATAGATATTTCATAATGGACTTATATCTCCTAAATCTGCAAGAATCCCTGAGACACAATTAGAAAGCATCCCAATAAAAAAGTAGGCAGAAGTTCTAAGAAGTCACTTCACCAAAGAAGATACACAGATAACAAATGAGCATATGAAATGATGGTTATTAGAAACCTGCAAATTAAAGTAAGATGACACTTAGAACTACTAAAATGATTAAAATCCAAAACATTGACAATACTAAATGCTGGTAAGGACCTGGGTTGACAGAACTACTGTTTCATTGCTAGTAAGGATGCAAATAGTATATAGTTACTTTGGAAGACAAACTGAGAAGTTATTTTTTGGTGGTTTTTTTTTTTTTTTTTTTACACAGTTACAGTTTTGCCATCTGAACATGCTCACAGGGACTTACCCAAACAGTTTGAAATTTTGCATTCATACAAAACACCTGCAAACAAACATTTCTAGAAGTTTTAGAAATAATCGTTAAATATTGGCTAAGGTAGCTTCCTATAGCAAATGGATAAACTCATACATCCATACAATAGTATAATATTCAATGGAAAAAAACACTATCAAGCCATGAAAAGACATGGAGGAATCTTAAATGCATATTGTGTAAAAAATGTGAAAAGATTATAAACTACATGATTTTAACTATCTGATATATCAACAAAGGCAAAACTACAGAGAAAAGATCAGTAGTTTTCAGGAGGCAGGGAGAAAATGAGGAAAGGATATATCACTGGTGGGTGTACAAGTAGTTTTAGGACACAAACTATTCTATATTATTCTATATTATTATTCTACTGGCAGATATGTGACTATGTATTTGTCAAAATTCATCAAATTATACAACACAAAGAAACCAATGTAAACTATCAACTGTAGTTAACGATAAATTACTGATTCAACAACTGTAACAAATGAACCACATCAATGAAACAATACCAAATAGAGAAAATTGTTGGCAGGGGCTTGGGAAGAGGGAGAATGTTAGAATTCTCTGTACTTGGTCTTCATTTTTTTTTTTCTGTGAAAGTGACACTTATCTAAGAAATAAACTTTATGACTTTAAATAAAGTGTTTGGGAAAAGATTGTTAAAAGAAACAAATTTGCTGCTTAGTGTTCTATTGCCACTAGGCATAAAGTAGAAAAATCACAAATGGCTAATGTTCTACTTTTTGTTTTGTTTATATTTCTATTCTGGTCTATTTCTCCAATTCAAAAAATGTTCTCCAAAAGATGTATTTTGGAACAGTTGTCAACTTATTAATAGAGGTAGCACTTCTGACATCA